TCGAACATCTAGACCGAAAACATAAATGAAGTCGCCCCATAACTTCAAATCATCGTTCTAGATTTCAAATTTGAAATTTCGGTGGATGAGTGAAATAATCTTACGCGCATGAGGCCGTGCACTGATGTTGTGACACACAACGCAACCACACTGTCCGAACAGTAAAATAAATGCAGATAGACTACTTGGTTTCAAAAAGTTCCCACAAGTGAAACGTGAGTTTACGGCAAGTGCCGATGGAATGACGCTGTCAAAATCGATAATAATTTATGAACGGATGCGATTATTTCACCACATGTGGCAACAACAGAACACAAAACAGATCGTATATTGCATTGCGTTCAAATACTCAAACGTACCCTGCCTGATGGTATACCGACATACCGCCCTCAGGAGAAATACTGCATACAATTAACTAAGGCTTATCAGCACTAGCCTCCAGGGTTATGACTCGGCGGGAAACTTTCACAACCTGACTACTTATTTCATGCGAGTAACGGAGGATTTGGTTCAAATTTAAAGGCTTGTTTGATTCGATGGTCAAAACCGTTCAACTAGTCTTTCGATTTTGGTGGTAGGCAGCTCTGCTGTCGTCCGGTTCAATACCACGCCTAACCTATCGGGGCCTTATGTGGTTCGTCAGTCCAAGTCTCGGGGCTTAGGTTGCCGGTTTCCACCACTGAACGGCAAGTCCTCGTGACTATGAGGTTCGCCCCGTCTGCTGTTCATCACACGTAGGTGCGTAATACCAAAATTAAAAAAACCATTGAGATCCTATGAAACTGGTCATTCTTCCTGTATACAAAAGTATATCGATTACAACAAATACCGAGCGCTGTGATCAAATGAATTGTTTCATTGGGTGCGGGAGACAAAAGAGCTAATTCCGAACAGTGGAGCATACACTGAACCGAAACCTGAATGCCTTGCATGACAGCTCACTAGAAGTTTCCACACGGGTGCTCCGGTTACGCTCCCGAGTAGGNGCCTTGTGGATCAGAATTTTGAGTCAAAGGCTCCGGTTAGGGTTCCCAAAGAAAAAACCATTCGTCCGTGTGGCCGGCTGCGAAGTACATCGTGCCCTAAAGTCTTAGGCATCGATTAGGAAAACCCTCTTTCCTGTCTTCTTCTTCCTCTCAATCTCGAATAATTTCAGATACCTCCTGTTTACGACACCCACTGAAGCCAAACAAACAGAAGTTATCGGACTTCTAGAGCCGAAATTCCATTTTCACCTACTCGCGTCCAATGTCTGCACACTATGATATTGGCCAACAAGCTGTCTTAGTTAGAACCCTTGAAACTGTCCATTTAGATATATGCTGTGTCTGCGAAACA